GAGGCCTGCTTCTCCCTCTCCCACTCCCCCTGCTTGTGTTCCCTCTCTCGCTGTGTCTCTCTCTGTCAAATAAATAAAATCTTAAAAAAAAAAAAGCTTTGAATGGAAGTGAGGTTGTGTGAAGGAGAAGTGGAGGCAAGGAGCTTGATTTGAAACAGATGAGAAATTTGCTCTTATTTAAATGCTGGTGAACATGAATCAGCAGAGAAAGAGGGTGAAAATAATAGGAAAGGAATAGTAGCTAATTGATCAAGTGAAGTTTCAGAGGAAGCAGGAAAGAATAAACCTCAAACTGTAGATGTAGGCCTTCATAATAGAAAGGAAGAGGGACCAGTATGGGCAATTAAAGAAAGATGTGTGTGGACCATGACCTCTTGTGGGGTAGAAGCCTCTGTTTTCTCTCACATGGAAAGTGGGTACTGAGAGTGACTAGAGAATTAAAACCATCTGTTTTTGCTGTTATCATTTCAGATTGTGAGAACGGTGAATCAGTGACCAAGAAGGACATTTCAGGAGAAAAATCACAAGGACGTCCCCACGAACCTTCATCTGGAGGAGTTAGTGAACACAACAGCGATTTAGAGTGGCAACAAGAAAGTGCTATGGGGGAGAAATTAAGAAGATACCCTTCCCAAGAGGGCAGTTTTAGTCAAGTAATCTTCACACACAAATCTCTGGGAAAAAGAGACCATCATGAGCCTCAAAGCAGCTTGATTCTAAGTACAAACTCTATAACTTATCAGAAAGTTCCTACAGAAGAGAGACCTTATAGATGTGATGTATGTGGGCACAGCTTCAAACAGCATTCCTCTCTAACACAACATCAGAGAATCCATACTGGAGAAAAGCCCTATAAGTGTAACCAATGTGGGAAGGCTTTTAGTTTGAGGTCCTACCTTATCATTCATCAGAGAATTCACAGTGGTGAGAAAGCATATGAATGTAGTGAATGTGGGAAAGCCTTCAATCAGAGCTCAGCCCTCATTAGACATCGCAAAATTCATACTGGGGAGAAAGCTTGTAAGTGTAATGAATGTGGCAAAGCATTCAGTCAAAGTTCGTATCTCATTATACATCAAAGAATTCACACTGGTGAGAAACCCTATGAGTGTAATGAGTGTGGGAAAACCTTTAGCCAAAGCTCAAAGCTTATTAGACACCAGCGAATTCATACAGGAGAGAGACCTTATGAATGTAATGAATGTGGAAAAGCTTTCAGGCAGAGTTCAGAGCTGATAACCCATCAGAGAATACATAGTGGAGAGAAACCCTATGAATGTAATGAGTGTGGAAAAGCTTTCAGTTTAAGCTCAAACCTCATCAGACATCAGAGAATTCATAGCGGAGAGGAACCTTATCAGTGTAATGAATGTGGCAAAACCTTCAAAAGGAGCTCAGCCCTTGTTCAGCATCAGAGAATCCATTCTGGGGATGAAGCTTACATATGTAACGAATGTGGGAAGGCTTTCAGGCACAGATCAGTCCTCATGCGCCACCAGAGGGTCCATACTGTAAAATAATATGTGAATACAATGAATGTTGTAAATATTTCGGTCAGATTTTTATCTTTGTTAGTTGGAAGGGTTTACTTTGGAGTAAGATTCCAGGCTGGTAGACTACCAGGTCTGGAGTCTTTCTGACTTAACTAAGCAGCACTTCCCAATGCTAATGCAAATTGTCCCTTGAAAGCTTTTCTTAGGACTAATCAGCAGATGGAAGAATCACTGCTTCCAGCTTTTCTCTTACCATTAGGAATACTCAGGAAATAAGAAAAATGGGAATATAACATTGAAACCTCATTTTCCATGAGAATGTCGTGAAGGGGGTACAGCAACCCGGGCTGTCCCTGCATCTGACTGTCCACATGTCAGGTTTGGGATATGGTGTGGACAGTATGAGGGACATTTTGTCTCAGGAATACAAAATTTTACTGGCCAATTAAGAACAGTGACAGGGCAGCAAGACAGATGGGGAAACAGTTCATCGATAATGTGTTGAGCCCAGGGCAGTCCAGAAACGAGGTAGTGGAAAGAATACAAATTAATTTATCCAACAGTTATTTTTGAGGGCCTGTGTTGTGTCGGGCACTAGGAATACAGTGGGAAATAAGAATGTCTCTGCAGTTGAATGGGCAAGGCAAACCGGCATTATGGCATATCAGGGCTCTGAGACATTAAGGAGTACCTGACCCAACCTTGGATCAGGGGAAGTTTCTGAGAAAAATGAACTAAAGGGTGAACAGGAGTTAGCCAGGTAAGTAGGCAGGCCAGGGAACAATATTCCCAGTAGAGGAACAGACAAAGGTCAGGAAGAATGTCTGGCACGTCTGAGAAAAGGCCATTTTGTGTGGAGTATTCCTGTTGAGTTGCTTTTGAAGTGGAGTCCTGTCTGTAAGAGAAGCATGGATGTGGAGAAGCTTCTGTTATTAGACAAAACCAGGCATTCTTGGACCACAGGGTAGAGCGGAGCTTTGTCTTGGTCTGGTGTGAGCTGGGGGAAAGGGTTAATAACTAGTTCCTTGCCTAGGCTCAGCTAGACCTGGTGGGGGGGGGGGACGGGGGGTGGTTAGAAAGAGCCCAGCCTAGCAGGTTAAGCACCTTTTAGAGTTCTGAATCTTCCTTTTCCTAAACAGAAGGACTCCTTTGGTTCTTGAGACTATGAGAGCTGTTGTCTGCTTCCTGCTCACTCACAAGGCTCTGGGTCAGAAGCTGCTCTGGCTACACATTTGTTTCTGGGGCTGTACCCCCACAGTTCTAGTGCACTCCCTTGGGCTCGGGTGCTAAAAAATAATTTGTCAGTCACTGGGTCTGTGACTTATTCTCCAGGCGCCTCACATGTGTTCAGTTTTGCCTTTTATCAGCAGTATTTCACAGTCTTGTGAATTTTAAAGACCATGCTAAAGGGAAGTGGCAACAAAAATTAACAGTCCTGGTCCATCAGAGACTACCCTCTTCTGAGGGACCCAGCAGGAAAAGTATCCCTAGACTGTGCTTCTCAATGCAATGCAGGAAGGGATATAGATTAGTCAGCAACAGAAAAACCTGTTATTCAAAAATACCTAACAGGTCAGAGTTCTAACACCTTGCCAAAAATAGAAATCTATGGGAATCGAGAATCCGGAACTTAGGAAAAGAGTTTTCATGAGGATAAGTAGAGAATGCGCTTGTTGGGACATACATAGATAAGCAGATACTAACCTTAAGAATGGCTGGTAGGCTGAATCCCTATGCTTGGGGAGAGAATGTGAAGAAAGGGATAGGATAACAAAGTAACATGGTAAGAGCTATTCATATTCAGCTCTTCTATTTCTCAAGATAAAGACTCAAACTAAAAAGGGTAGGACAGTTGTTAAGTAGGAATTGATAACAACATATATTACAAAAGGGGAGATTCTTTATAGAGCGTTCTTAACATATCCATAAGAAACATACTAGGTACTTTGCTGAGGGCTTTGTATATATTTGTTGTTTCTCTGACCGCATATTTTGCAGATGAGGAAATGAAGGCTTAGGATCATGGCTTAGTCAATATCATATAGCTAAAAAGTGGTCAGGCCAGACTTTGAACCCAGGCAATAGGAAAACAAAACCCTTCTGCGGAGCCACTTCTCGATAGTATCTCCCCATGAAAAAGTCCCAGTAGAAAAAATTGTACTCAAGCAAATCACGAACAAATGCCAATGGGTGACAGACGGTCAGCCTTGCTAGAATTAAAAATGTGTATTAAAGCGAGAGTTGAGACAGCACTTTTTTTCCCCCTCATAAAACGAAGATTCAGGGAAGTTGGGACTCCAATGCTGCTGGTTGAGCTGTGAATAGATAGGATCTCTGGCAATCAATACCAGAAGCCTTAAGCATTGCCTTTTGACTTTAAAATTCTACCTGAAAATGTATGCTTCAGAAAACATCATGAATGTATACAAAGTCTTAAAACGCTGTTAAAAGTGCTGTTGATAGATGTCAAAAGAAATGACAGCATATCTTAAGTAAAAATAGAACATGTACAATATGACTCCATGTAAAAATATATTTATGCATTAAAAATCCTGGAAATAATGTAATCTCAGAGTGCTACACTGGCTATCTCTGGGTGATAAAATTGTAGGTGATTTAATTTTTTCTTGTGATTTTTCTTTTTTTTTTTTCTAAGACCAATTGCAAGTTTTCTTTTTTTTCTTTATTGTTATGTTAATCACCATACATTACATCATTAGTTTTTTTTTTAAAGATTTTATTTATTTATTTGAGAGAGAGAGAGAATGAGAGACAGCACGAGAGGGAAGAGGGTCAGAGGGAGAAGCAGACTCCCCGCCGAGCAGGGAGCCCGACGCAGGACTCGATCCCGGGACTCCAGGATCATGACCTGAGCTGAAGGCAGTCGCTTAACCAACTGAGCCACCCAGGCGCCCACGTCATTAGTTTTTGATGTAGTGTTCCATGATTCATTGTTTGTGCATAACACCCAGTGCTCCACGCAGAATGTGCCCTCTTTTAATACCCATCACCAGGCTAACCCATCCCCCCACCCTCCTCCCCTCTAGAACCCTCAGTTTGTTTTTCAGAGTCCATCGTCTTTCATGGTTCATCTCCCCCTCCGACTTACTCCCCTTCATTCTTCCCCTCCTGCTATCTTCCTCTTTTTCTTTTTTCCTAACATGTTGCATTATTTGGTTCAGAAGTACAGATCTGTGATTCAACAGTCTTGCACAATTCACAGGGCTCACCATAGCACATACCCTCCCCAATGTCTATCACCCAGCCACCCCATCCCTCCCACCCCCCACCACTCCAGCAACCCTCAGTTTGTTTCCTACGATTAAGAATTCCTCATATCAGTGAGGTCATATGATACATGTCTTTCTCTGATTGACTTATTTCACTCAGCATAACACCCTCCAGTTCCATCCACCTCGCTGCAAATGGCAAGATCTCATTCCTTTTGATGGCTACAGACACATGAAAAAGTGCTCAACATCGCTCGGCATCAGGGAAATCCAAATCAAAACCTCAATGAGATACCACCTCACACCAGTCAGAATGGCTAAAATTAACAAGTCAGGAAACGACAGATGTTGGAGGGGATGCGGAGAAAAGGGAACCCTCCTACACTGTTGGTGGGAATGCGAGCTGGTGCAACCACTCTGGAAAACATTATGGAGGTTCGTCAAACAGTTGAAAATAGAGCTACCATACGATCCAGCAATTGCACTACTGGGTATTTACCACAAAGATACAAATGTAGGGATCCGAAGGGGTATGTGCACCCCAATGTTTATAGCAGCAATGTCCACAATAGCCAAACTGTGGAAAGAGCCAAGATGTCCATCAACAGATGAATGGATAAAGATGTGGTATATATACACAATGGAATATTATGCAGCCATCTTGTGATTTTTCTGTCTTCCAAACTTTCCTACAATAAATACTTGTAACAGAGAAAAAAAGGGTAAAAGGAGTGAGCGCCCAGGATAGTCAAGAAATACTAAGAAAAGCACATGTTTTCTGTAGCATCTCTGTCCCTCCCAAGTCCTAGGAGGTTATCTAACTTGTTAACTCTGACCCTCTGACCCATGACTTCCTCATTGTTAAGTGACAGTGGCAGACACAACCATCTCACACTAGTGTACAGAAAAGTCCTGCAAATTATCTCTGTGCAAATATAAGTTATTTGCATGAAGGATTTCTGTAGTTGAGGAAAGCAATAACCTTGAAGTACAGCCCTTTGTTCATCAGTGCTTTTCCATGAATTCTGCAGCCATAAGCAAGTCACCTTACAACTCCACCCTCAGTTTAAAGGAGCTGAAGTAGACGACGTTTTATAGTTAAAGCTTCAACATTCTTTGTGTTTATGAAAGAGCAGGCACCAATATAAGGTAGATGTCAGAGGTGATTTTATTTATTTATTTTAAAGATTTTACTTATTTGACAGACACAGCAAGAGAGGGAACACAAGCAGGGGGAGTGGGAGAGGGAGAAGCAGGCTTCCCACGGAGCAGGGAGCCCGATGCGGGGCTCGATCCCAGGACCCTGGGATCATGACCTGAGCCGAAGGCAGACGCTTAACGACTGAGCCACCCAGCCGCCCCTCAAAGGTGATTTTAAATAAGATGTACAATTTAGGCAGGGTGCTTACTATCACTTTCCTACCTCTCGCCTTCTCCCTCCTCATTTCCTGCAATTAACTGTCCAGCTGGAGATTGGAAATTTAAGCAAATCTGACCTTGGTGTCTCCAAGCTCCCTTGTGAAATCCTTTGCCTCTCTTGCCCCATTAAGTGAATCCTCCAAGTAAGAAGGATTGCCAATTAGACTATTTCCCATGCAGAAGAAACTGACCTGGAGAGCATTTCTGCAAAGAAGGGTGAGCCCTGTGGGCAGACCCTGCTTTCTGGTGGGTCAGAACCAGACATTGCTACTCAGTAACTATCATCTGCAGCTGTCTTGTTAACTGGTGCAAATGATCACAAATCTAAACGGTCTTAGGGTTTTTCTGCACATGTTTCCATTGAGGACCTGCTGAGTGAGGAGGGGAAGTCCATGGCAGTCTCAGGCTCTTGTTCCTGGGGGGTGGGGGAGTGGGGGAGAGACACAATGTGTATGTGTTTAAAGAGGCTATTTGTTCTCCTTCCCATGATTTCTCAGCCAGCTGCCCCTAGATTTTGGGACTTCACCTGGTGAACTGTAGCCCAAGGGACTAGCTATGTTTCCAGACACCTGAACCAGGAAATAAAAGCCAAGCACACCCACTCCCTGATTTCTTGCCACAATTCCCTCCCTCTTTCTCCCAGCACACCTCCACTTGTGTTACTAGGCTCCCTATTCCTGAACAAATCATTTCAAAGCAAAACTTAAGATTCAAATTTTATTATAATACATCTTGTATTACATTCTAATACTAAACAGTTTAAGTATATACTCAAAGTATAAATGTTAAAATCAGTTACTAAAAATGATTTACCAAACATGACTTTTACCAAAAAATACTAGGGTTGGGGAAAGAAAAAAATAATAGAACTGCAAAATATTAACAATGTTTTTGTGGGTGGTGGGATTGAGGGTGACTTCTACTTTCTCATTTTCTATATTACCAATATTTACAATTAATTCACAACCTGGAAAAAAAACCTATTAAATAAAATTAAAAACATGAAATCATCTGATTGTCACCTAGAGGAAAAGGCAACTTCATCCATTTGAAGGGTCTCTCCAGAATTCCAACTGACCTCACTCAATGAAAATCCTCCAACCTATGGATACAGAGATTGCCCCCCCCCACCATCACACTCAACTTCACCTCCCCTATTACCCACAGCAGCTTTGATCACCAGGTCTTCAAAAGAGACAGTATTCAGAAGGGAAATCAAACCTTCTCTTACATATGAATTGCCTTCAGCAATTAATGGTGGGTTAATTAAAACTGCCAAAATAAAAATTAGCAGAGAAGTAGAGTTTTGAGTAATCTAAGGGGGTAATTCAATAAGTATTCATTGCCTTCAAGTAGCTTAGTATCTTCGAGCCTGATGATAAGAGGAGGAGACAGGAAATTAGGAATAGTGGATCCTCGGAAGGCAGACCTCCCACTCCTATGCTCCTGTCAGCTTCCCATTTCCTGAGCCCTAGGGTTATGGGACTCCCACACTGTCCCTCTAGCCTCCAATACCTTTTCTTTCCTTGGTGTACCTACATGCCTTTTTCCATACGATGCACCAAAGTCTACCATCACACTAATTGTCCTGAGTCCCTCAAGGTCTCTTAAGTAACTCTGGATCTGGGATAGGCTATCCAACTCACTGATTATAAACAGGAAGTGAGGAACCAACACATGTCCTCACTTCTGAACCAGAGTCTACATGAACAAATTCCTGCTGGAGGAGTCCTGATGAAGAGACATCTGCAGATCCTCTCTCCATGCCTTTGTATGTGCTATAACCTCTGTCTATAATGTTCTCTTCCCTCTTGCCTTGACTTGGCTTATACCCACCCTTTATCCCCCAAGAGATTTCATCACATCCAAGAAGCCTTTAGTGTCTTGTAGACCAGGTTAGATGGCCCTGCCACGTATTTTGACAGAATCCTAGATTATTCTACTTATCACACTTTACTGTAATTACCTGCTTAATAAGTATATATGTATCCCATTAGCCCTTAACTCTGGGAGGGCAATGGCTATGCCTGCCCCTGATGACTGTCACATAGCAGGTGCACAATAAACAGACCTCAATTGACCTCAGGAAGCTCAGGGCTGAGAAGAGAACTGGCAAGGGGGCAGAGTGAACTATAAACTGATCCAGAGCATAATTCAACATTTCACAACCTCCTAATTGAACACTTCAGAGAACCAAGTGACTCTCAGCATATGCCTCCAATAGCCAAATGCATGCTGTTCTTGCTGGACAGAGATCCCTGCCATTGGAGGCACCACCTCTCAGTCCATCTTATAAGGAGTTCTTTCAGGATCTTTGCCCCAAACCTGGCTTTACTGTGAAAGTGCCCATTCAACACATCAACAACCATCTTTGTGTGGATCTCCTTGTACAGCAAGTACTGACTTAGACTGGAAGGACAGAAACTCTGCTCTTGGGAAACTTCTCACTTCGGTGGGAATCTCACCACCAAAGTAAATCCCTGGTATTACACAATTGTACAATCCTTACCCAAGAGTTAAACTCTGGTGTGAGTTCTCTGGTGCTGCATAAGGCCTGACCTGTGCCTAAATGTTTTCCTACATTCGCTACATTCATAAGGCTTCTCCCCAGTGTGGATTCTCTGGTGCTGCGTGAGGGCTGAGCTCTGATTGAAGGATTTTCCACATTCGTTACACTCATAAGGTTTTTCTCCAGTGTGAATTCTTTGATGTTCAATAAGGACAGAGCTTCTACCAAAAGCCTTACCACATTCAGTACACTCATAGCCTTTGTCTCCAGTGTGAATTTTCTTGTGCTGAATGAGGGCTGAGCTTCGGCTGAAGGCTTTCCCACATTCACCACATTCATAGGGTTTCTCTCCGGTGTGAATTCTCCGATGTCTAATGAGCTCTGAGCTGCCCCGGAAAGCTTTTCCACATTCACAACATTCATAGGGTTTTTCACCACTATGAATCCTCTGATGTCTAACAAGGTCCGAGCTCAAACTAAAAGCTTTGCCACACTCTTTACATGCATAAGGCCTCTCTCCAGTGTGAATTCTCTGATGTCTAATCAGCTTTGAGCTCTGGCAAAAGGCTTTCCCACAGTCCAAACACTCGTAGACCTTTCCTCCAGCATGAACTCTCTGTCGTGTCAAGACATGTGAATTCACACTGAGAGTCCTTTCACTCTTGTTACACTCAAGGACACACTCTTCAGTGGAGGTTTTCTTGTTGAAGGTTGCCAGACTAAGATGTCTTTCCTGGGAAGGGAGTGGACTCATTTTGCTCTTTGCAGCAGTTCCTTTTGGCTTCTCAAAGTTGTCCAGACCTCCCAAAGCTTCTTCAACTATCTGTCCTGAAGGAGTTTCCCCAGGGAGTCTTCCTGGGGATATCATGGCTGCTGATGCTACACATTCCATAATGTCTTGCTTTGTTGTTAATACTCTGTCAGCCGCCAGCTTGCCATCTAAACATGTGAATAGAAATACTGGTGTCATTTGATCCCCATGTTGAAAGGAAGGAATCTATTATAACAGGAATTGAGAGTAACCCAAATGAAATAGATATTCACCTGTTAGAGGAAAACTCTTAAGAACTAGCTTCCCAATCTAGAATTTAGAGAAGTGGCCTGGGGTGGTGAGAGGTGGCACCCTCAGAGAGTAAGGGAGACGCAGCACTGGAGAGGAGAGATGGTGAGCAGGGAAAGACATCAGTTAGAGGAGATGGTGATAAATAGGAGGAGCAGTGAGAGACCAGGAAGCTAAGAGACAGTCCTGGGTTAGAGGAGAAGATGCACTTTTTGATAATGAGGGAAAGGGAAAGAGATGATAGGGAGTGTTCAGGAGAAAGAAAGAGGTCTAAGAAACCTGAATAAGTGGTGCTCCTAGAAAAGAAGGAGAGCAGAATATATGACTAGGAAATGCTTTCAGGATTAGAATTGAGGAGAGGTACAGAAGCAGGAACTAGAATGCACTATGGCAATTGCAGGTTCTGGTAGGTTCTAAGTAGATAAACGATTATAAGCAAATAGAATAGGACAGAGCATAAGAAAAGGAGTATTGTGGTTTCCTGACTCATTCTGGGATCAGGTGGGAGTCTTATATGTTTACTATTTTATGTGCAAATGGTCAAAGGCAGATGGAAACGAGGCAGATGTGACCACCTGGAGCCAAACTTTGAGCTCTCACAACCAGCCCCTCTAGTTTCTAGATTTTTAGTAACTCAGAAGGAGACTACTAGATGATGGCTGGGGAAACCTGAATTATTTTGAGGGGGTAAATCTGAAAAACTGTTCATTTACTTTCATCCTCCCAGAAGTCCTCTAAACTTGAATGCATTTTACAGATCAAGAAACGAAGGCTCAGAGAGGCAACATTACCTGTGTAAGGCCATAGAATTCATAACTGGAAGAGCCAGGGTTCAAAGATGCTCAACATCAAGGCCTGCAGTTTTCCCCTAGGCCCCCTACCTGTTCAGGGACCTGTGTGGTCTAAAAGCCTTTTTTTTTTTTTTAAGATTTTATTTATTTATTCGACAGATAGACAGCACAACCAGGCAGAGTGGAAGGCAGAGGGAGAGGGAGAAGCAGGCTCTCCGCTGAGCAGGGAGCCACATGGGGGGCTCAATCCCAGGACCCTGGGATCATGACCTGAGCTGAAGGCAGCCGCTTAACCGACTGAGCCACCCAGGTGCCCCTGTCTAAAAAGCCTTTTAACTAGGGATGTGACTTTAATTCCACATTAACAAACATGCTTTTAGCCTTAATGTTATGTAGATGATGCTGCACCGCCCATCCAGATCTGCTTTATGAATATGGTGCCTCCTTCCCACAGCTGCTGTGAGTGTTGGCTCCTAAAGCCACAGCTGCCCCCTCATCTGGAGAGTTGCCCTGGCTGATGAGAACCATCTGGCCCAGGATGTTATTTACACCCTCACTGCCTCACCCCCCACTGCTTTAAGAAGGGACAATTCAGCAGTGCCCAAGGGGGTGGACAGGGATTAAGAGATTAGGCCAAGGCTAGGTTTTACCCAAGACCACATCATGGCTTGATCTCTTCCCTTCCTAACCTTGCTTCTCTCCTTTACAGATTTCTCCTGAAGAGCACGCCCTCCTTTAAATCACATGCACCCAAATCGCCATATCTCAGGCTCTTCTTCTGGTAAGATATACTGTTAGGCTAGTGAAGAACCTATGGGAAAATTAAAACCAAGGGTATAAGGTTGTAAAAATGACATGGTGACTCTTAAAATCCTCGAAGGGTGGATCCCCCCAGGGATTTAAACCTCACAACCTAGGTGACAGATGTGAAATGCTCTACATTAATTCTTCAGAGGCAGGTCTAACCAAGACCCCTAAGACTAAAGAGAAATGTGCACAATGAGATTTATCAGTTCACAACAGTAATGTACCACTGGGAGGGAACAAAAACATATGGATGACAACACGCCAAGAGTTGTGAAATGAATCTATCGTATATTTTAAATTAATCAGATCCTCATTAGAGGTGGGTTTTTTTTATCCCTGTACTTCATATGAATGTGGAGAAACAGAAGATGTCCAGAGAAATGTGCTAAGATGACCAGAGAGATGTGACGCAGATGGAATCAGAGGCAGTGAGATGCTTAGTCCAGGAAGATGTGGTACTCTCTTACAGATTTGTGTCTTCCTTGGGTGCTCTGCCTCAGCCCTAAAGATTCCCTACATCTGTTATTCCTGTATTCTTTAGTGTTGTTTCTTTCTTTACCACTTCGTAATCAACTCTATTATAGTCAATAATTCTTAATATTGAACTTCCCTGTTCAAGATATTATGTAGTTTCTGTTACTGATACATTATTCATCTCCATCTTAGGCACTGCCTTGCCAGTGGACCATAATATTAAAACAACAACAACAGTATATTGGTCTTTGAATATTATGGGTATTAGAGAATTTTATTAAAGACCTTAATTCTTAACCCAAAGTTAGAAATTATATTGGAATTTCAGATTCTAGGCATAGCCAATGGAAGAATATTTCAAGGCAAGGAGGGGGCCTTTCCACTATGCTTAATGACAGCCACAAGTGACTGTCATTAAGAAAACACGCTATGCCACAGCTGACAGCCCTACCATCGTACTGAACCCCGAATGGACTGCAACTCCTCACCTCTCTCGTGGGCAGTCTGGGACTCCTGAGTCTCACTCTTGCACTGATTCTCCAAGGGCTGGAGCTGTATACTCAGAGACTTCAGTGCTCCTATGGATGTCATTTCCTTCCAGATCATTCCATGAGCTGTGTCCTAGGAGTAATCAAGTACCAGCACTATGATTCTGAGGATACAGAAGAAAAAAACCCTAGAACAAAGGGGCAAGACAGCTAGAGCCAGAAACTCATTCAGATGATTAGATAGAAAACAACAGGCCTAAAAGCCCTAGTGCCTTGACCCCAGTGGACAAATAATAACCCAAAAGACAAAAATTTTATAATTCTCTGATAGCTGCGACGTCAAGGTCACTCATAATGGCTTCCCCATTAACTTATAATTGGGAAAACAAGCAAACACATCACCTACTGCTTACCTGTTTCCTTGGCTCATCAAGCTCTTTCTCCAGCTCTTCCAACAGAGTCACGGCTTCCTCTCCGTTCTCAGGCTGGTGCTCTCGCAGCCAGGCCTGCAGCTCCTCAGGCAGGATGCTCAGAAACTGCTCCAGCACCAGCAGCTCCAGGATCTGCTCCTTGGAGTTCACCTCTGGCCTCAGCCACTGATGGCAAAGCTCCCGGAGCCGGCTCAGGGCCTCCCGGGGCCCCGTGGAATCAGAGCAGCCAAACTGCCTGAAACGCTGGCGGAAGGTCTCTGGGCTGCAGGGGTCTCCCTGAAGGCCAAGGTCCTGCCCCCAAACATAATTCTCTTCTTCAACCTTCACAATTATAAGTCCTTCTTGTTCTTTTGGAGCATGGTAGGCCAGGCCTGCAGCTTTTCCTGACATTCTGGGCAGAAAATGCTGCCCAGTTGAGTCAGGGAAGGAATGAAGTCTGTGTCTAAGAGATTCCTTCTGAATTCTGATTCTTCAGGGGACTCCTGAGATGGACAATGCTAATGTTACACAGGGGGAAAATGTGCTTAGAACAAAAAGGCAGGTTTTCAAAGACCAATTGCCAGAGACTGTAGCACTGTAAAGAAAAGTGACTAAAAGGGAGCTTCCATATAAGCAATACATTAATAGATGATTCAGGATTTTTTCAAGATAGGAAATAGAAAATTTAAGAATCACGAAAATCAACTCAACTTTTAGAAATAATATTAGGGTCAACATCAGGGATAATAAATAATGCTTCTGGATCATGGAAAGCAGGAAAGACACTGTAGTATATTATTACTTCTCAGAATAATAATCACATTTTAGTGAGTACCTACTAGATGCCAACAGTAGCTGGATATTTATAATTTCCTTAATAATTCCAAAGGACAATCACAATTATACCTATTTCCAAATGAGGCTATTGAGATGTACGTTGACCAAAGATACACAACCTGTAAGCAGCAGAACCAGACTCTGCAACAAGAGTATTGAGCTCTATAATGTCATGGGGTCTCCCTCAAAGGAATTTGCACTTAATAAACACCTACTATGAATGAAACCAGAGAGGGAGACAAACCATAAAAGACTCTTAATCTCAGGAAACAAATTGAGGGTTGCTGGAGTGGAGGGGGGGGGGAGGGTGGGGGTGGCTGAGTGATGGACATTGGGGAGGGTATGTGCTATGGTGAGCGCTGTGAATTGTGTAAGACTGATGAATCACAGACCTGTACCCCTGAAACAAATAATACATTATATGTTAATTAAAAAAAAACACCTACTATGGGCCAGGCACTTTACAAATACTATTTTATTGGGGCTTGACAATAATACTATGAGGTAAGTATTATCATCCCCATTTTACTGATGAGGAAACTGAGATTTTTAAAAGTAAATTTACCGGGGCGCCTGGGTGGCTCAGTCCTTAAGCATCTGCCTTCGGCTCAGGTCATGATCCCAGAGTCCTGGGATCGAGCCCCGCATTGGGCTCCCTGCTCCGCAGGAAGCCTGCTTCTCCCTCTCCCACTCCCCCTGCTTGTGTTCCCTCTCTCGCTGTGACTCTCTCTGTCAAATAAATAAATAAAATCTTTAAAAAAAATAAAATAAATAAAGTTATTTTACCCATGGCCCCAACCTGGTAAATAGCAAACTCAAGACATGAACCTAGGGTTGCCCAATTCTAAAGCACCTGTTTTTTATTACAGAATGGGTTAACCCAGGACCATCTTGGTTGATACTACATATTTTAAATGATGGTGAAAATGTTAGGAAAGTGTCATGGAGAATGGGCAGAGTGAATGTACAAAGAATTCTTGACTTTTAGTCACAGGTTCTAAGACAGTACCAAGAAAAGAGGAATGAATTCCTTCACCCATTATTTCAAAAAATACTCGAGCTATATGCTAGGCAGTTTACTGAACAGGATTCTCAGGATTAAAAGCTCTGTCCTCAAAGACTCCCTAGAATGGGAAAGTAACAGGTAAACTGGCAAAGGCAGTGTGATAAACCCAAGGATAGAGGGAAGGGCAAGGTAGCACAGAAAAGGACAACTAAGACCAGGGAGAGCTGCCTGCAGGGGGAGACCTGTCAGCAGAGTCTGATAAGAATGAGCCAGGTGAAGATGCCCAGTCAGGTCATTCAGGCAAAGACAACAATGGGTAGGAGATGTGGCCCATTGGGGGAGCTGCAGGTGGGTTAGGGAGGCCAGACTAGTGGTCGTCACCTCTGGCTCAGAATCAGCCATGGAGCATGGACCCCACAATAGACTTCCTGAGTCAGAATCTCTGTGGGGGAGACTTCAATAAGTGCCCCAAATGTTTCTGATATGAAGCCATGTTTAAAAACAAAACAAAATAAAACAAAAACGGGCCAGAGCCTGTGGCATAGTTCAGGAATAGTGAGAAAGGAGGCACCTACAGAGGGATAGTAGGCCAAGGGTCTGAAAGATTGTACTGCAGTTTGCATTTGAGCCACGGGAATGGCTGGACGGTCTGTCTGCCCACTCAGGAAGGGGTCTGTGGCAACCATTTGGGCGAGAAGGGCCTGAGCTATGGGAACCAAAGATAAAGATGGGAGATTTGACAGGACTTAGGGACACACTGGATAAGGATTTGGAAGATGAGTTAAGGACAGGTTTTCGCCTGGTGCTGGTGACTTAAAGGATGGTGGAATCATTTCCTGAGTGATTTATGATAAAATTAGATCTATCTACAAAGCAGCATTTCCTGAACTGTGTTTTTGCCATACACACCTAAACACAGAGAAACTTGGGGATATTCTTCCTCTTAATTTTTTAGTACTTGAAAAATAATGAATAAATTTCTTTAGTTCTTATTTATGACAATTGGCATTTAAGAAATCCCCTAACAAAACATCTTCAGATCTATGTATTACTGTGTATATAGCATTTACGAAGCATCACATGGATCACATATCACATGGATATGTATGCTTTACTTAGTGATCACTGGTCTTTGTCATGGATCTTGCCCTTTAATTTCAATGTTCGTGATACTAAATTTTTATTATAATATGCCTCACCAACTTATCTTCCATGGGTATGTGGCTGAAAGGAAGTCTTTCATCATAAAGCATTGTTTCTCTTCCTTCTTCCATCTTCTTCACAGGCCCACCCTCTTCTACATCAGAGTTCCATAGGTTAGCCCTTAAGTCTGGCACTGTCTTCACTGTCTTCCAGGCATCTCTACTCTGGACCCCTCATCTGAGCACCAGCCCTATTTACCCACTGTTCCTTATTCCCATAACGCCTCTTGAATTTCTCAAAAGGACCTCAAACAGCACATCCATGACCAATTGATGATTCCTCCCACTCCAATTCTGCTCCTCTCCCAGTGGTCCCCTCTTGGGAAGGAGCAACATCCATCTGGCTGCACTTCTAGAAAACTGGAAGCATCCCTAACACTTCCTTTCTGTATTTAATGCAAATTAAGTCCTACTGATTTTATTGCCTGTCTCCAGAATCTGCCCTTCCCCATCTCTGCCACCGTCATCCCAGTAACCACCCTGTCACACTATACATTAAGTCTGCTCATACTGTAACCAGAGAGACCTTTTCAAATTGCAAATCTGACCCTGTTCCTCTGACCAGTTTTTTTTTTTTTTTAAGATTTTATTTATTTATTTGACAGAGAAAGACACAGTGAGAGAGGGAACACAAGCAGGGGGAAGCGGCAATGGGAGAGGGAGAAGCAGGCTTTCCCGCTGAGCAGGGAGCCCGATGCGGGGCTCAATCCCAGGAGCCTGGGATCATGACCTGAGCCGAAGGCAGGCGCTTAACGACTGAGCTACCCAGACGCCCCCTCTGACCAGTTTTTAAAAAGCAAATGCAGGGGGAAAAAATCAGTCCTTAGCTAATCTCTTTGGCGGTACTTATCTCATTTTACAGATGCCTGAGCTGTGCCCCAACCTGAGTCAGACCCTCGGTTTCATATTTGTAAAACATTCTGCAAGTGATTCTGATGTGCAGGCAGGGTTGGGTTGGTCAAGGAGTCATAAGAGAATTATGTTCCTTTCTCTCAGAGCACCGCTCTCGTCAGTTTATATACTTTAGTGGGACTATTGGGTTAATACCTATCTTATCCATGATTCAACTGTAAGTTACATCAACATTTTTGCTCACCATTTTCTATCACCCAATCCAATGCACAGCACAGAGTAGGTGCCATATATACATGAATGAATACCACTATAGTGGGGGGGAAAACAGAGTTTCAAAGAGGCAGTGGTCAACACTATCAAATGCCTAATAAGGACTGAAAGATGTTTCCATGGCACTTCTCATACAGCAGAAAGATGACTTAGCTCACAGGAGGAACACCAGCTGTGGAGTCAAGTGCCCCAACAGTTTGAAATCATAGTGCAGCTTCTATCTTAATAGCTGTGTGACAGTAGTCACCAACCAAAGATTCCATTTCCTCTCCTAAAAATGGAGTTAATACTTTCATTGCACTGTTATTAAAGGAACTGGAAGTAGTAAGACATCCAGAGTAGTGCTTAGGGTGTTAAGCGTATCTTTTTATCCTGGTGTTTTGACATCTGGGCCTTGCTTACACTGTAGGGACTGTCCTTCCCAGGGCTAGCGGATTCCTAGAGATGATAAACTCACCTGCAAGTGTGCTTTTCATATGCAAACCACCCAACCCAGAGCCCACACCGCACCACCTCCTGCCCTGGGCTTTCACATCCAGGGCCACCATTCCCCTGCCCTAATCACCCAGGGCCGGATGCCAGAAAATTAGGGACAAGCCAGAGAGCTTATCTATGCCTCAGAGCCCACTGAAACTATTTAAATTAGCCAATCCTAAACCTATCGACCCTGCCTTCACCCAGTCCTTCCACAGAAACCACAATAAAGACTCCTGCCCACTTTCCCCTCGCCTGGCCTCCTGACTGATCCTGTGATTTTGCCATGTGACCATGTGGGGCATGGCATGCCTCCTCCTCTTGGAAACTATAAGTAACAAACTATTTTTTGAATGATCATCTCCTGATCTGTTGGCTTCACCATACCTAACTAATAATAAAACTCGTATTTTAAAACACTTGGCCCAGAAGAGGTTCTCAATGCATGGTAGATATGGCGCAAGGGAAAGGCAAATTCCACATCACAAGGCATGGGTTATAGAATAGGCTTTATTGGGGAAACTTACCAGCTAGGGGTCAGTAACATGAGCACAGGTCCTGCGATTCTTCCATTATCCCACAAAAGGGAATTCTAGAGAGAGGTGCTGCTGTTTCAGGGAAGAGCTCCGTCTACCTTCTTATAGCATAAATGTGAGAAAGCAGCCTTGTCAGTGGGGGCCATAGGTCAACTGCTTGGGACCAGAATTGTGTTTTCAAGTGTCAGTGTTTACAGAGTTGTCTAGGGAACCCATGTGGGGGGGCTGGAA